TTAATAAGACACCCCCCAAAATAGGCGAAACATGGATAATTCCCCATAGAAGTTCTAGTGAAATCCCATCGACGCCAGGACATGTCGGAAGGCTGCGGGGCCCACGGCAAGCTGACCAGCGTGAACATCGTGAAACCACATCATGCCCAGGCGCCGGTTGCGGGGTGCGGCTTGGTCCGTCATAGGAAAAGGCACTTTTTGGAAGGTGATTTTATGGTTGCTGTGGAAAAGTAGCCAAAAAATAATTTGACTTGATTCCAATCATTGAGTCTTTCACCTTGAGCTATGAAAAATCCGTATCTAGATGTTTTTTTAAACGCGGTACCCTCAATTTGAGTGGTTTGTTTTCATTTTCTCTCACTAAGTTGGCCAGTTTGTATATCTACCATTTTTGGACGAAGCCAGATGAAACCCAAAGATTCAAGGCAAGGTGCCTTCCCCCCAGTTACAAGTTGGTTGATAACACATCTAGATCATCTAAATGCTTGGATGTATTCCCCATGAACTCAGTTCTTGTACTTGCAAGTCCCAAGTTAGCTAAGACAAACCAACTAGACATCCTAATTTTTCTTGGTTGAATCATTGTTTTTGAACTGGGGCACCATTCAAAAACCGGGGCTGTTGCCTCACTTTTTTGCGCCCCAAGCTTCACCGGCCAGGGGAATGCCACCCTAAAGCCCGGAGATGTCTTCCTGCAGTGCCAGACCACCGACGATGCCACGAACATCATGCGTGCCATGGGACACCGCAAGTACGACGGAAGGCGGGGGCCCAGATGGGCACAATTGGGGCGGCTGGGCACCCAATGAGGAAAAAAAAAACATGAAACATCCACTGGTGAATCATCGTTATCCCTAAAACGGCATTTGGATCCATTTGGAGGGTATAGCGGTATACCTCAGTTTTGTACAGACCCAAAACATATTTTTGTCTGTCTGCTTTATTTCTTTTTGAATCACTAGCTGTTCTTGTGCCTGTCCTCATCCAAAAATCAATATACCAATCACATCCATGCGTTTATCAACCGAACCGTATCGCACATCCAATTTATCTCTATCTAGTTGAATCAAATCAAATCTGGCCAACTCGATGATCTATCTTACGTCTTGTCCCAACTTGTCGTTGGGATTTGTGAACTTTTTTTGTCGGGAATCCATCTGATGGCATAGGCAGATTCAGATGACCTCCTTTGAAGAGGGCAAGTTCATGAGTCACGCTGGCTGAATGTTATGGGCGGCTTCGGGCTGAAAATCACGGGCTGGGATGGCTTTGTTTGTGCGGACGTTTAAGTTACGTACGTATACACACACACATATTGATATGTATATATATATATATGAAATATGAAATATGATATATGATATATGATATAGGATATATGATATATGATATCTATGATATCTTTGATATCTATGATATCTATGATGTCTATGATATGATATAGTACAATATAATACGTCATGACATTAGAGGATATGATATGATATGACATGATATGATGCAATATAATACAATACACTGCACTACACTACACTACATTGCAATACAATATGTTATAATATATCATGATATGATACAATGTCATACAATTACAACCGACATGATTCATATAATACATAATATATATATAATGCATGTATATGACTTGTTGATTCCAGCTGACCTTTAGTCTTTAGGTAAGGAGTCCGAACAACGCAACATTTGCAACACTTCTAATGGGGTGATGCTTTGTTTGTTCACGGTCATGGGGTATTGAGTTGTTAAGTCACCTCCTAGGTATGCTTCTCTGATTTACTTCCATGTTTTTTTTTTTGAACTTTAGAGTTTAGAGTAGAGGGCTGGCAAGAGCGAACATGATCAAACACGGACAGCTTCAAACTGGGCTTGCGGACAGCCATTGTCTGAGGTGAAATCAAGCCTCTCTTCTGAGTGTCAGTCAGCCAAAGTGCGGAAAAACACATCTAGGAGAAGTTTCCAGGAAGGCTGTCCCAGATTTTTGCGTCAAAAAAGACAAGGCTTTTTCATGGAAAAAATAACTCACATGATGTTGATGTTGAGCGATAGAAATATCACCGGATGTTGGGATTTCTTGTTCAGAGTGCTGTGGGAGCATTCCTGATGAACGTTGGAACGTCAGAGCTTAACGAGACATTCGGAACGTTCTCGACGTTGCGACGCGATTTATCGAAGCGCCGCGATTTGCACGTTGCGAGCGTTCTGGCAGAAAGATTGGGCAATTTCAATGTCAAATGTGAAGAACTTGAAGACATGGTGCCAGATAGACCATGTTTCGACTTTTCGACGTAAGTGGGTATGTCTCAACCTTGGGGACCTCCCCAGAAAAAAATCAGAACATGTGAGAGTTGTGCCCCTTTTGACTCCCCAAGTTGGTTGACATACCCAGGTGATCATTTCGTTCATTTCGTGTCATGACATGACAAACAGAAGGAATACCAAAGATGATACCCGCCGTGCAATGAAAGATACCAAGCAGCCATGGCAATGGCACAGCAATGGCACAGCAATGGCACAGCAACGGCATATGGCCCAGCCCAAGATGCAGCCGTCGGCGTTGTTGACAATTTTGCTGCATTTTGCAGCTGGTGCGACGTGCGCGACAGGTAGCAGGGCCCTGTAGTTGGAAGACAGACTCAGTGGATGAGAGAAAAAGAGAGAGGCACTACTGCAGTTAAAGTTATAAGTGGATATTATGATGATATTATGATGATATTATGATGATATTATGATGATATTATGATGATATTATGATGATATATGAAATACAACCATAGTTATGTTGGGATCATATCCCAACATGTTGGCTTCACGGCTTCTCCAGTACCTCGGAGATTAAAAAGGCTTCCCGAGCCATCTGGTTGTCACCGACCCTCTGCTAATGGCTGAGATAGCTATTGAAAATGGTGATTTTCCCATTGAAATAGTGAGTTTTCCCATTAACAATGGTGATTCTCCAGTTCGTTATGTAAACGTTTACCAGAGGGTATTCTTCCATGGTCGTAATTCACATGAATTCAACGTGACATGACATGACTTTCCCTTTCTCATAATCCGGTTGTCACAGCAGCTGACCATGGTCAAACTTGACCCACCCAGACGGACACAGCAATTTCCACAAGAGAAAAAAACATGCCACAGCCAGTATACAATGTATATATATATACATATATATATATAGCCATCCTGGAGTAGATGGAATATGGAAATTCCAGAAGACTTATCACTAAATAGGACTATGTTTAAACATCTCGAACAAATCAATCTACTTCAGGATGATTATACACAATATCAATACATCGATGTTTTTCTTCGCGAATCACGACACCACCGTACCGAAGAAAAAGAATCCACGGCTTTTCCAAGGCTGGGCCGATGGAATCCATTGGAAGTCGCCTGGAATGCACATGGCTCGAGCGAAGCTGTGCGAAGTCCAGCGAAGTCCTTTATTTTAAGGGAGACCATATATATTGAATGGGCATACTCACAATATGCCCACACATATATATATATAATATACACAGCTATATTTCTGGGTATGATATTATCCTAATCATAGTAATTTTTGAGTTGAATGATGCCATATTTAATTGAATGGGTATAGTATTTTCCCAATATACCAATCTATACTTGGGATAACTACCCATTCTATTATAAGCGTATCCAAGAATGGTGGAGACTGGATGGTTTAATGGGATTTAACCATTGATTAACCATTAACAATAGGGATTCACGGTTGTTCTAGTGCTTTTTTCTGGTATTGATGTTGATTGAATGGTGACTGGAATGGTGACTGGAATGGTGATGGCTTAGGAATTTGAAAGCACCAACAAGAAGGGGCCCACAGCCAGAGTTTAAGCAGAGACGCCCTTTTTGTTTACCTTACTTGGAGGCATGAGTCTGAGGGATATGAAGTTTTGCAAGTTGTTTTGGAGAGTTTGCATGCCCCTCTTTATCGAAGAAGACCGCCGGATTCATATGATTTTGCATTCACAACTATAGTAACTAGACTGATCGGCAGCTAAACAAATCGCAAATTTATGCCACATACTTGGATGCCATTTTTGTTCTCGCCAGGGTCAGCTAGTAGCACTTCACGGGAATGAATGGCAGAGTGGCTTCCTAGAGCCTATTATCATAGTTTTCGTTAGTATGTGTTCGTAATATTCTCATTTGTTCATGATACAGGTCCATAATTATCATGAGTATCATTACAATTCTTATGCACTCGTTATTTGCTTCGTATTCTTTGCCACTGAGTTATCCGCTTCCATCATATCTTGCCAGACGTTTTGCCGAGGTGTCGGCCATCCTGATAATTGCAAGGTGGGGTTGCTACATGAAGCCATGGGAGGAAGTGGCTGCTAAGATTCATGGTGGATACCCTCTGGAAGTCTCACAGCTTGCCATGGAAACTGGCCCATTTTTTTGTCTTTAGCTATTCAAACTGGCGGCTTTCCATAGCTATTGTTTGACTACCAGAGGGTATATCTATACTTGAATGGGGTTATGAATCAATTCCTGGGAGAGCCAAACTGAATCGGTGATTCGTGAGCAAACATCATGGAACCATGGAACCTCATGGAACCATTTTTTCATGCCAATTCTCCTTCTTCATAGTGGTGGATGGCCATCAATTTGTATTTGACAATGGATGACCATAAGCCATAATAAGCCATATACCATGAGGTATTGGTCCTGGGCTAAGTTCTCCAAGGGCGACCCTGCCGATCTTGCTCGAGGCTTTTCCTTTTGCAAACTGAACATGGTCAGGAAAAAAGCATTGAAAGGGCTCAGAGCAACGGCTGGTGCCCTGAGAAGCTTAGCTTGATCACCACACCGAAACTCACTTCTTATGATTTTTTTGCAAGTGAAGAGGTAATGAGGATTTCTCCTTCCCAGTTTTGTGGTTGATTTCAGGATCAAAACCCAAGCTATTCAACTCCGAGAAACTTGGCCAGATGGCTTGTAGCCCCCAGCAGCCCTCAGCTATCTCCAGAAATCAGCACTGACGCCGCTGCCCGATGTCCTCGTGGGGAGTAGCCACGGTTCCCACGATGACATAGTCGCGGCTGCGGCCTGTGGGACTCAGGCGTCACTGGGATAGGTGTGCATAGACCCCCGCAATGTGGGCACCCCCCAGTTATGTTTGAACCTCATGAATACTATAGGTGTATATATCTATAGATAGATAGATAGATAGATAGATAGATAGATCGATAGACCGATAGATCGATAGATCGATAGATCGATAGATCGATAGACCGATAGATCGATAGATCGATAGATCGATAGATCGATAGATCGATAGATCGATAGATCGATAGATCGATAGATCGATAGACCGATAGATCGATAGATCGATAGATCGATAGATCGATAGATCGATAGATCGATAGATCGATAGATCGATAGATCGATAGATCGATAGATCGATAGATCGATAGATCGATAGATCGATAGATCGATAGATCGATAGATCGATAGATCGGTAGATAGATAGATAGATAGATAGATAGATAGATAGATAGATAGATAGATAGATAGATAGATAAGTACCACAAACCGTAGAGATACTGGAGTTATGTGTAGCAACTTGGCGATTTCGTCTTTTTGTGCCCCAAATTGCAAGTATGATGAACTCATGATTTTGTCTTTGTACACATGGTCGCATGTCTCAGGACTTTGTGTTGTTTGTGTAGCCACTAAATAGGCCACAGCACATGGAAGCCAACCGGTGTGCACCGCTGTGCACATTCTCCGTTCATCTTGGTTGAAACACTTGGACTGCAAGAGATGATGTCATTGATGATGGTTAATGATGGTTAATATTATGCTAATAGTAATGGGGAAACCATCTATAATATCTATTGTTCATGATGGTTCATGATGGTTAAGGATACTTCATGTGATTTACTGTAATGGTTAATGGTTTCTGATGATGAAAATTAACGTTTATCAGATGCATAGAACCATCATTGTTAAATCATTTATTGCATGGTTAATGATGGTTAATGATGGTTAATGATGGTTAATGATGATTAATGATGGTTAATGATGGTTAATGATGGTTAATGATGGTTAATGATGGTTAATGATGGTTAATGATGATTAATGATGATTAATTTAATGATGAGTAACTTAATGATGATTCATGATGGCTGATGAAACCTTATTGCATCGCCATTATACAAAAACGCCCATTTTCCTTCCGCGACAGGTCTATGCTGGGCGAGCTGGGGATCCAGCTGGTCGAATCCAGTGGGGACGGAGGACATATCCACAACACTGGTGACTAGTGACAATGTGTATATAGGCACACATATATATATATATAGGTATAATATATGTATATACATGGATAATATATATATATGGGTATAATAATTAAAACACAATAATAAATAGAATAATAATAATAATAACAACAATAATAATAATAATGGTAATAACTATAATAATAATGATATATATATATGTATATATAATTATATATATATATCTAGAGATATATAGGTATGATAATATTATATAGGTATAATATATACATATAGGTATAAAGTACATGACACACACTTCACATGTAATATCATTCCATGGTCTATGTAACACACAATGTATGTCTAAAACAACACGAGAGACAACAATAGTAAGAACTAACATAGCAACAGTAGAAAATAGTAGAAACAATGTGAATAAACACAACAATAATGGCAATCTTAATGCAGTAACTGTAACAAGCACGAACATGGTGATCATTTGGTGATAATATCCTCAGTGTCTTTGAGCACTCTGGCTCCGCAAAAGCCCGACCAGTTTCTGTTCCAGTTGGAACATCACCATTTTCTTATAGGTAAATCTTCACAAGTCATCTATAAATGGGCCAGTTTGCCTCCAATTCGCCAAGGGTTATATTACCAGAGGGTAGGTTTTCCATCAGGTTCTACCACTTGAAAGTCAGAATGCCCCAGGGATTCCCGAAACAAACGCGGCCGTGCCTCTCAGGTCGAGACAAGCTTCGTACTTGCCACCGACTGCACCGAACCCAGGCAGTCGACAGTCCGAACGGAGGGTATTTTTAAGGTACAGAACTGTGGTGATTTCTATGTTTTTTTTACCGTGGTTTTTTACCGTGGTATTTTCCATAAGTAGGGATATAACCCCCGTTGACTATCGACCTATGGACTATGCTTGTGGCTTAAAATCCAATTGTTGGAACTGCACCCCAGTCGAGTGGATTAGAGGTCGGTCAAAACGACCGGTAACTTGGTCTTCTTTGGTTCTGTTAAAATGACCACAAAATGACCACAAAATGACCACAATTTGTGACCACATTAATCCGAATTGTCCTGCGTTTTGAAGGCATGACTTGGATTGAAGGTGTAACTCGTTGACGGTGGAAGTGATGTATGTCGTATGGTGCTGGCATTGTGCACGCGGTAAGAGGAGGAATAGTAGATGTGCACGTTAGGTTTGACATCATCCGCAAAATGTACAACATTGTTGTTGATAGCATATAGAGAAGTCACCCATTCAACGTGGAAGAGACTTGATCTGAGACTGTGAGATGAACGCAATGTTTGATATAACTATTTTTCTTGGCAGGAGCAATTAGGGAACCAAATCACGATAAAAAATGATATGAACCAAGATATTCACCAATGAGAACTCATGGTTGAAATACTATAGATATATCCTAGGCGGGATAATATTGGAGAGACAATATAGGATACATACATATTCCTATTCCCATGAAAGATAGGATACTGCAAGTACTTGCGGAATGGAATATGAATTTTGGATCGGATAAACCGATTACTTTTTAATATCCGAACAACAAAAGACCTGGTTGGACCACAGCGGCTGGCTTGGACACCGCTCAATTGACCCCGTCATCCAATCATGATGTGGTAGACCAATAATAAACCATAAAAAAATCAGGGATGGGTTACACTTAACCTATTCTGGTAAGTCATCGGGGCTCTGGATTTGCCACATTACTAAATTGGTATATACAACCTCCTGTAGTCCATGAACCATCATTTATCGCTTACATCACCATTTCTAATAGTTGAAACATCCTGTAAATGCTGGTGGTTAGACGCCACAAACTCCTAACATACTTGGAGGATCATCTGAGTTTTTTTCTGGTTAATACCCTCTGGTTGTTTCACATAGCTATGGACAATGGCCGATTTACAATACAGATGATTTTCCCATTAAAACCTCCATTTATGGTTGGGATTTTCCATGGCTATGTTAGTCATAACCAGATGGTAAGCCTGGTGATCGGATTCGTCCTCAATTCGTTTCCCATTTACAAATGGCTTCTAACCCCACCTACACCCCCTCTATTTGTGCGAAAGGGCGAGCAGCCAATGCTGCCAGTACCGCACTGGTGCTCCCGGCGTGTTCAGCCAACTCACCGATCCCAAGAAATGCTGGTCGAATGGGGGGATTTTCATGGGACCTGATGGGAAAATCCATGGACATCTTGCCTCATTGAGAATCTCTGAGAAATCTGAGAGGTAGACATCTTTGGAATCTAAAGATTCAGATTCCAAGTTTTTGGGATGAACATGGACCAAGAAGAACGTTGTCAAATTTTGGGGTGCCACGAAATCTCTCCAGCGCTTCGGTGGTGAAGTCTGATGGTTTGCAATTCTAAGACCAAATCACCTAAATCTCCAGCTTTAATGGTGAAGTCCCAATTTTCGATGGGTGAATTCACGATTTTCCCACATTTTTCCCCTTTAAATTATTTAATTTCATGGTTTTTTCATTTTTCCAGAACTTCAGATGGTCTGGTCTTGGCTGCCGCCAGCGCTTACTGGAGTGCAACCCTGAGTCGTTGCTGGCGCCCGATGCCTCGCGCCGAGGTGCATTAAACGATGGTGATTTGATAGTAAATGTGGGATTTTCCATAGTCATGGGGGTACCCCCCACTAAAATGGATGGTTTATTTTAAGGAAAAGTCCAGAAAAAAATGATGATAACTGGGGGTACCCCGATGACTTTAGGAAACCTCCATTTTTGGTGAAAATCTGTGATGAAACCATGGGGATCTCATCAAACTATGAGGGATGAAATATTGGTGTTTTTCTCGTGATTTTTAACCATCAAACTATGAGGATAGTTCAGTGAATATAAGTGATGGGCTGATTGACGAGTAGTTAGGGGGCTATACTATCAACATATCGGGGATTATCACAAACCATTCTGGGAGATCCTATTTACCAACCAGCTTCTCAGGGACCCTTTGGTGCTGGCTGATGATTATTGCCTGAGAACTCGTTGTTTTTTTTGGGGTTTTTGGGGCATCAAAACTATGATAGGATATCTTTGAAACATGATGATTTCGTGGGTATATGGATAGAGATAGCAGATAATCAGGGCTTGAGGATGCCATTGGGGGTTGTTCTTATGGCACCCATGACTGAGGATATAATCCGCAGCGAAAAAGCACATTTAGCCACTTAATAAGTGGAACTGCAGCTTTTAGGATGAGACTGGCCCAAATCATTCCAAAACCATTTGCCTTATGGATGGATATGGATGACTCTAGGGTGGGGACAATCTCAACTTCAAATCCCCTTGGATTTGGGAAACCCGCTGCCGATGGATCATCCAAAGGGGGCCGAAGAAAAATCTCAGTGATCACTATTTAGAGTTACAAATAGACAACTAGATAACATTAGATAACTAGATAACTTAGAAAAGTACTCCATCTATTTCGATTTGGAGATTTGACCAACTCTTTTTGGTGATCCTAGCCGATCCCAAATCCCAACCCATCCGTTCGTCGCCGTTTGGAGGCGGCCGTTTGTCCGCGGCGAAGTTGGCGCGGCAGCGCTATGAAGAGGCCCTTAAGGCCAGGACAGCGGGTTAGTTCACCCTGGTTCTAAATGTACTAATGGGGGTAAAACAATGCCATTTGCACCATCCCCCAGTCATCAGCATTTTTGTAGGTGGTATGGCTACCATTCCCAAATGGGTGGTGTATGGCATTGTTTTACCCACTTGCTAACCTTACATATCCTACTAAGTTAGCGAGGTGATATCTGACTTACTACCTGGGCAGAACCAGCAAGTGGACGTCTCCGGTCCAGCTGCCTAGGCGAATGCCGTTCAGGGAGATTTGCTGGAGTTCGCTGGGCAGCCCATGTTGGCTCCGGGGAGGTTCCAAAGTTCCAGTGCAGTTCAGAGGCTTTTTATTTCCTATCTCAGAAATATCATAATTCCTCATGATGATGGTTGGTGAACCATTATATTCGCATTATACATCATTATATTAAAGTATATTCAGTATATTCCTATTCCATTTCCGTTTGAGTCGTTTTATTTAAACCCCCCAATGGTGAAGTAATGGCGGGGAATCCCTGAGTTTTCTGAATCGAAGCCTGTGTCACAGCCCGAGCATCGAAGTTAGACCTATGTTAAATGATAATATTGTCGAAAGTGTTCTACTTCTGTCTCTAAATCGGTTTGTTTGTCTAATTCTGATGGTCATATTTTCTCATTTTCCCATCTTTCCCATCTTTTCCCATATTTTCCATATGTTTTCCCATATTTTCCAATGTTTTGCCATATTTTCCAAAATGTTTTGCCGCTCCAAACTGCCATTTTCTGGGTGTCCCATGGTATCTCTTAGGACACGCCCAGCGCTTCGAAGATCGCCGAAGATGCGCCAAACGATGAGGCCGACGGCTGGGATGAGAGGTGGGGAAGAAACAGAGATGTCATGGAAATGTCATAGAAATGGCAATAGTAATGGCAAAAAACGGGAACTAAATGGTAGTCCCATTTACAGTAAATCCCATGACTTTTTTCATCATGGGATCTATCAGCAAAAATAAGGTGATTTCATAATGGAATGTATAGGACACTTACAAGTGAATTGTGATAGCTAAGTTGCTGCCTAAATACCTTGCTCAACTGTTGGGCTTATGGTGAATTCCAGTGTGAATTACTTGCGAATTAATGGGTGAAAACTAAATCAACAAACATTTCACTGGGTTACCACCACCTTTTAGATCATAGTCTCTTACTGGATAGTTGTAATTATCCAATAGGTAACCACTAATCTGACAACAGATTATGAATATGAACATTATCATCATACATCATAATTCATAATATGTATATATTATATATATATTATATATATATGTATATATATATATATTATATATTATATATTATATATTATATATTATATATTATATATATGTATATATATATATACATGTATATGCTGGCGGCTGGTTTACCGTACGTGCGTTTTTGTGTTTTTTTTGGCCGATGGGGTGGGGTGGGTTGGGGTGGGGTGGGCTAATAACGTTCAATGGCACTAGCACACATACTTGCATACTTGATGCTACGCTACCGACCTCGTCTCTTGCACTTGCACACATACCTGATGCTATGCTACCGACCTCCTCTCTTGCACTTGCACACATACCTGATGCTACGCTACCGACCTCGTCTCTTGCACTTGCACACATACCTGATGCTACGCTACCGACCTCGTCTCTTGCACTTGCACACATACTTGATGCTACGCTACAGATGGGTTGGGGTGGGGTGGGGTGGGGTGGGCTAATAACGTTCAATGGCACTAGCACACATATGTGATGCTACGCTACCGGTCTCTTCTCTTGCACTTGCACACATACGTGATGCTACGCTACTGACCTCGTCTCTTGCACTTGCACTGCACACATACCTGATGCTACGCTACCGACCTCGTCTCTTGCACTTGCACACATACCTGATGCTACGCTACCAACCTCGTCTCTTGCACTTGCACGCATACCTGATGCTACGCTACCGACCTCGTCTCTTGCACTTGCACACATACCTGATGCTACGCTACAGATGGGTTGGGGTGGGGTGGGGTGGGCTAATAACGTTCAATGGCACTAGCACACATACGTGATGCTACGCTACCGGTCTCTTCTCTTGCACTTGCACACATACGTGATGCTACGCTACCGACCTCGTCTCTTGCACTTGCACACATACCTGATGCTACGCTACCGACCTCGTCCCTTGCACTTGCACACATATGTGATGCTACGCTATTTATACCCGACCGATCGTCTCTTGCACTGCAACACGCCGAACTCTTCGAGCGAACATGCAGTGAAAGTGCTGCGCCAGAAAAAAACCGAAAAGTCCGAATTTTTTGTTGTCTCCCTGTGGCGAAAAGCAAATCCATCAAAAAACAAGGCATCCTGAAACAGCCTCTTTCTACTCCTGGCGTTCACAAAAGCGGGCAAATACAAGTGAAAAATGATGAAAAAATAAAACACAATGGAATTAGCCACATTTTGTGACCAAACATGATGATGATTGCTTCAAAAGTCCTGCAAATACCAAGAGATAAACATGAAGGTCATCATAAAGACTCTTGAGAAAATGCCAAAACACACGCGCGGTAAACCAGGCGCCGGGATGTATATGTATATATAATATACATTTTAAATGGGGGATCCCCCGTCGTCACCATAGGTTTCACATCAAGTCATGGTTTATTTATGACGGCTGGATGATTTGGATCCATCCCCACGGGAATATGACAAAGTGCCCACGGGAATATCCAGTGGTAAACCCATGACCAACTTGCTATGAATTAGATACTATAGATGGTTTTCCATTACTATTAGTTACTATTACCATAATATTAACTATGAAAAAAAACCATTATTAATCATTACTAATCACTATTCGAAGGAAGTTCCGACAATATGGACAGATGGAAAAGCAGAGGCGGGAGGAGAGAAGAGAAGAGAAGAGAAGAGAAGAGAAGAGAAGAGAAGAGAAGAGACGAGACGAGACGAGACGAGACGAGACGAGACGAGACGAGAAGAGAAGAGAAGAGAAGAGAAGAGAAGAAGAAAGAAGATCAGAGAAGAGAAAGAGTCAGAGGAAAGAAGATGCAGGCGCACGAAAAGGTAGAAAAGTCGCGATTCACGGTGCTTTTCCAATGATTTGTGGCTCCGGAGGGTCGAAAAGTATTCGAAGTAAAAATGTGCAAAACACACCATTCTCGGAGCACTTTTGGAAGGTCACATGTTGAAAAAGTGCACGCCGTTGTGGCGCGAAGCACATTTTGAAGTCAAAATGTAGAAAGCACCTCACGTTCGGAGCACTTTTGGAAGTTGCGATGTCGAAAAAGTGCACGCCGTTGTGGCGCGAAGCATATTTCCAAGTCAAAATGCACAAAGCACCTCAGTGTCGGACCGCTTTTGGAAGTTGACATGTCGAAAAAGTGCATGTCTTTGTTGCGCGAAGCACATGTCGAAGTCAAAAGTGCAAAAGACTGACGGGTGCGGAGCACTTTTGGACAGGCGCAAGGGTCTGCTGTCTGCCTGCCTGCCTGCCTGCCTGCCTGCCTGCCTGCCTGTCTGTCTGTCTGTCTGTGTGTCTGTCTGTCTGTCTGTCTGTCTGTCTGTCTGCAAGCTTGAAAACGAAGCTATTCTGCGAGACTTCCTCAGTTTTTGAACTTGACAACGTCAAAAACGAAACAATTCTGCGAGACTTCCTCAATTTTCGAACTTGACAGCATCAAAAACGAAGAAATTCTGCGAGACTTCCTCAATTTTCGAAGTTCACAACATCAAAAAGGAAGCAATTCAGCGAGACTTCCTTCAAAAATGGAAAGTTGAGTGCAGAGCTGATGGCCTCGTACCAATGCGTTTTGCGATTTGTTTTGTAGCATTTCCAAAAACGATGGCAGGCGCGGGACATTTAGAAGGATGCGTAAAGATGCATGTCGCGTGGCAGGGGCAATACAAGAGACATGTTCATCAGAGATGTTAGGTGGTCAGGGCAGAGATTTCCTGAGACGGGTTGCATTTTGGAGATCTTCAAGTTTCCAAAGATGATTTTGCATGACAGGTGCAGCACTTCGTATGACCTGGCATCACTTTTTCGCGGCACGCGCAGTACTGTAGACAGAGAGAGAGAGAGATAGATCGATAGATCGATAGATCAATAGATCGATGGATCGATAGATCGATAGATAGATAGATAGATCGATAGATCGATAGATCGATAGATCGATAGATCGATAGATAGATAGACAGATAGACAGATCGACAGATCGACAGATCGACAGATCGACAGATCGACAGATCGACAGATCGACAGGTCGACAGATCGACAGATCGACAGATCGATAGATCGACAGATCGATAGATCGATAGATCGATAGATC